CCAGCAAAGTTGGGGGAGGACCACATCCTGTGATGCTCAGCCCAGCAATGTGAGCCTGGGGGCTTGGTACACAGGCTTGGTGATGCAGTGCTGTTGTGGCCAAGGGGACAAGGGGGTCTCAGGGTTATATGAAAAGGTTCTTGGGGGAGATGAACGGGGAGTTCAGAGGGGGTGGCAGCGTACCAGGACTACACCTGGCATGCACAGGTAGCTGAGCAGTAGCACTGTAGCACTGTCCTCCCATTGTTCATTGATTTGTCGAACGGCACCAGTAATGTCTCCATTGTGAGACTTCTTGTTACTGTTTTTGGCATATCGAATCTGCCACAGGCAGTACTAGGATTAAATTTGGGGTTCACACATTCCAGGAAAGAACTCTACCATTTGAGCAGTTTCCCCAGCTCCAGATGCAATATTTTCAGTTGAATAACCAGGAGTTTAAAATAAACACTTGGAGGGGGGATCTGTAGCGATAGCACAGCAAGTAGAGCATTTGCCTTGCATGCAGCCAACCTAAGTTCGATTCCCAGCATCCCATATGGTCTGCCAAGCACTGCCAGGAGTGATTCCTGAGTGCAGAGCCAGGAGTAACCCCTGTGCATTGTCAGGTGTGACTCAAAAAGTAAAAAAATAAAAAATAAAAATAAACGCTGGGCCAGAGAGATAGTATACTTGGGGTTAAGCTGGTACATTGCGGATGCCGGTTCCATCCCCTGCACCAAATATAGTCCACCACCAAGCATCACCTGAACACAGAGCCAGGAATAAGACCAGAGCACAGCTGGGTGTGGCCCAAGAACCAAAAAAAATTGTTTTAGATAAAAATAAGCATGGCTCCAACTACACAATTCTCTCTGATGCCCTACTTACTTCCTCCCCACCCCACTCCCTTTTTGGCTACACCCTTCAGTGTTCACAAACCATTCAGTGCCAAGGATCAAACTCGTGGCTCCCACATGCAAAGCCAGTGCTCCAGCCCTTGCAGCCATAGCCCTGGGCCCCTAGCCCTAGCGTACCAGGACTATACCTGACACGCACAGGTAGCTGAGCAGTAGCACTGTCCTCCCATTGTTCATCGATTTGCTCAAACCGCACTAAGCTATTGCTAAGCTACTGCTTAGTTCAGAAGCTCCCTAAGCTACTGCTTAGTTCAGGCCCACACCATCCCCACCTGGACTCTTCTCCAGCTCTTCCTCTGGGGTCTCCCTCTCCCTAACCCTGCCTGCTCTAGCTCACATCCCACCATGCAATGGGTGTTTTCCTTTTAAATTATGAACCACGACGTCCTGCCTATGCCTAATTCAGAGCACGCGTCCCGGCAGCTCCTCCTGCCTGTCCAACAGATTCCATTTAAGCCCTCTGCTCCCCCAGGGCTCAGCATAGAGTCTGGGTCCCCAAGGCGAGTCCGGCCTCCTCCCCTGCTCAGCCCCACTTGCCATCCACGAGCCACTTGCCATTCAAGTGAGCAGTCTCCTGAATGCTGAGCAGTCTGTTATCAGCTCTTAGAAGGTTTCTACAAGCTTGGCTGCCCTTTGCCCTGGCTCCAAGTCTAGACATCCCCTCTCTTGCCTGCACACTACAATGGTCCCTTCTTCCAAATGCCCAGTTCAGCAGGGGCCCTTCAGCCCCTGCTCTCACCCAGATTCATCCACTAAAGTGGAAACCAAATTGTACCTCTCTGGTTCCAAACCACATACTGTCTTTCACACAGCCCGGGTCTGGCGGGAAAGCATCCTGCCAGTCTCCATGGCAGGCACAGAGCATGTAGACAAGTATCCGGAAAAGTCAATTCCACAAAGGCAGAAAGAAGATGGGCACTCTCTGCCTGAGAACAGATGACTGGTTAAAGAAACTTTGGTACATCTACACAACGGAGTACTATGCAGCTGTTAGAAAAGATGAAGTCATGAAATTCATATACAAGTGGCACTACATGGAAAGTATCATGCTAAGCGAAATGAGTCAGAAAGAGAGAGACAGACATAGAAAGATTGCATTCATCTGGGGAACATAAAGTAATAAAATAGGACACTAACACTCAAGAATAGCCAAGATAAGTACCAGGAGGATTACTCCATGGCTTTGAGGCCAGCCACACACACTAGGGGAAAAGGCAGCTCAGATAGAGAAGGGAGCACCAAATAAAGGGTGTTGGGAGGTTCCTCTCAGGATGGGAGATGTGTGATGAGATTAGATTATAGATCGAACATGATTGCTACTCAATGCCTCTTGCAAACCACAGCACTCAAAAGGAGAGAGATAACAAAAGGGAATGCCCTGCCACAGAGGGAGGGTGGGATGGGGAGATAGGGGGTGGGAGAGATACTGGGATCAGTGGTGGTGGAGAATGGGTACTGGTGGAGGGATGGGTACTCGATCATTGTATAACTGAAACCCAAGCACAAAAATTTGTAAGTCTGCAACTGTACCTCATGGTGTTTCACTAATAAAAATTTAAGGAAAAAAATAAAAAATAAATAAACTGTAAAATAAATAAATAATGTTTGCAGGGGCTGGGAAAAAAAAAAAAGAAGATGGGCACTCCCTTGGGCCTGGGAAGGGTGGGGGCGGGAAAGGGGCAGGAACTGTCCTAATTGACTGTGGTTGTGGTTATACTTCTCTGTGAGTTTACTAATACACACTGGGTCCTACAATTTAGCTAGAAGATCTGTAATGTCTACATAAAAACAAAACCCAGGGCTGGAGCAATAGTACAGCAGGTTATGCATTTGCCTTGCATGTGATAAACCTGAGCTGGATTCCTCGCAACCCATATGGTCCCCTACACTAGCCAGGGGTGATCCTTGAGCACAGAGCCAGTTAGTAAGCCTTGAGCATCGTTGATGTGGCCCCCAAGCAAAAGTATTTAAAAAAATTATTCTGGGTTGGCTCACTGGGCTGAGTGTATGTTTGGCATGTGGGAGGCCCAAGCTTGACCCCAGTATCACATGGTCCACTGAACACCACCAAGAGTGACCCCAAAACACCATTGGGCATAACCTGAAAACACAAACAAACCAAAAAAACCCTATTGAGATCAACATGGTTTCTCCGCCCTGCTAGCCACTCAGAGCCATGACCATCATAGGGTATAGCACTTCCGGCTGCAGGAGGTGCCATGCCTCCACATAGCCAGGTGGCCCTCCTGTCCCCTGCAAGTAGCTCTCTGCCCTGGGTGATTTGGTGACAGCCATCCTGCAGAGGTCAAGGCTGAGTGACTTGCCTGAGGCCACACCTCGGGGCTCTGTCCAGCAGGGGCACTGGGGACCATGTGTTGTGCACATATGTTGACAAGTCTCTCCCTGGGGGCCTGCAGGCTTGTGGGAACTGGGAGTGGGTCTGTTTAAGCACCCTCTCCCCTGCCCGGGGCCCACTGACTGTTGAGTCCAACTCAAGACCCTCAAGAAGCGGGTCAGAGGCTTAGTGTTGCTTCCACAAAGCAGGTCCGTGCAGCCTGGGCCCTACTAGCTTGCAGGAGCCAGTTTCTAGCAACTATTTCCCTGGGGCCCTGCTGAGTTTTCCCTCCAAGCCCGTCTCTCCTGCTGGGACCTCTCCTGGTAACCAAGAGGGTGGCCCTGCCCAGAGCCACTGCAGGCACCCCTGAGGCTGGCTCTGCCCCCAGCCAAGTATCCCCGAGCATGTGGGAGGCCCAAGGACACCCCTCGAGGCCCTCCCTGGCTCTGTGTCCCCTGCCAAATCCCCCAGACTCTAGGACTTCCTGGCATCCCCTGACTTCCTGGGCCAGGGATGGGAGCTAGTGGGGGATGGGCCCCAGGAGAGGATGGAGAGGTGGGAGGAAGCTGGACAGCCTGGGGCAGCTGGGTTGACCACCGTTCCCAGGGACTCACTAACAGATGACTCAGCTGCTGAGTTGCTCCAGAGGGAAGCCATGGAGTTTCCCTGCTTTGGTCTGACCAGCCTGGCCCACCACCAGCCTGCTGCCTCTCAGCCCACTCTGAAAATCACGGCCAGTCTTTGTCTCTCTCTCAGTCTCAGTCTCTGTCTGTCTGTCTCTCTGTCTCTGTCTCTCCTCTCTCTCTCTCTCTTTGTGTGTGTGTGTCTCTCCTCTCTCTTCTTTCTCATTCTCTGCTCTCTTCTCTGTCTCTTCTTCCCTCTCCTATTCTCTCTCCCTTCTCCTTCTGTCTCTGTCCCTGTCACTCTGTCTGTCTCTCCTTCCTGGGCTTCAGAAGTCACCTGCCCGCATCCACACCATTTGTGGCTCCCTGGAAGAGGCTCCATATGACTGTCCTGATTTGAGAAGACCTAAGACAATTCTCCCACCCTCCCAGCCCCACCAGAGCAAGAGTGGGGAGGAGCAATGCCCTACTCCCTGCTACCCCCCATCCTGACTCCTCCTGGCCAAGCCAGCAGTGCCCTCTGCCCCATGAGACCCAGAACACCCCCGCCCAGAAGACAGATGCTGAAATCATCCAGCGAGCCCAAGAAAGCTACAGTGAGAACCCCCACGCCCTCTGAGGCTCAGCCTGCAAACTCTTCACTCCTCCGGTGCCCCCAGGGAGCTGGGGTGGGGGCGGGGGGGGCTTTCCTTGCTCGGAAAGGCTGGGCTGCTCTTGGAAACCAGGGCTGGCAAAGCTGCTGGAGTGTCTTGAGAGGGCCCCTGGGGGACAGGGCTGGGGGCTGGGTCCCCTCCTAAGAACTCAGGCCCTGGGACCTCATACCAGCTGCAACCTTGGCTATTACACAGCCTCACTCGGGAATGATTTCTCCGGACCATCCTTCCCCCCACACCCTATGAGGCAAGGTCCCAATTTCATGGTGCAGAATTGAGCCCCTTAGTTTCCCCCAGAGGAGAAATAGGCAGGCAGGCCAAGATGCCAGGTGAGAGAGCCAGGCTGGCCAGCTCCCTACTCCCCCACTGCACAGGGGTCAGCAAAGGAGTCCCTCCACCCCGCACCAGCTCCTTCCTCCACTCACTTGCCAGAGGACCCAGTGGCCAGTCCCCCCCCCCCCAGCCCCCTGGAGGCCAGGGCAGCACTCACCATGATGGAAAAGATGAGGGGGATGAGATTGAGGGGCCAAACGGGGCAGAAGCAGGAGGCGATGGCCAGGATGAGGTAATCTTTCGGAACTTCTCTGTCCTCAGCATCAGAGGCAGAGGCCAAGGAGGATGCCCGCCGCGAGCTGACCCGGGACAGTGAGCGGGATAAGGAGCGGGACAGCGGGGCATCCTGGTGGCTCTCGGGGACCGCCTTGAAGGGCAGCCCATGGCCGTTCTCGAGGTCCAGCGTCCCCGAGAGGGACTTGGACAACTTCAGAGGCTTGTCATCCTGGAGCTCCACCTTCGTGAGGAGCTTCTCCATCTCCGGTAGGTCCAGGGGAGACACGGCGGGGGCCGGCTCCTGCTCAGGAGGAAACTGAGGCTGCCCGGGATCGGCCATGCCGGGCTGGACCTTGGGCTGCTCCAACTCCAGGCTGGGATGAGGGGCTCCGAGGGGCCCTCAGCACACCATTCCTCGGGCCAGACCAGAAGAGTGCCCAGCACAGAGGGCAGCGGTCTCTCCCCTGGGGGTGGAGGGCCGGCTGGGGGGCAGCGAGGTGGACACTCCCGGGCCAGCTGACTTCAGTGCTGCTGCACCTCGCCTGCTGCCCCCACGGAGCTCAGGGAACCCGCGAGCCTTCCGCTCAGTTCAAGTTTGAGGTCAACTTTGCTGGAGCCGCTGACAGCAGCGATGGGCGTGGAAGAGGCAGGGAGCGCCAAGAGCCCAGGAGCCGCTCCTCTCCCGAGGCTCTGACGGGCAGGGCGGCAGTGTGCGCGCGCGTGGCTGCGTGCGCGCCCCGCCTCCCGCCCTCCTCAGAGATGCTTTTCCTTCCCAACTCTCCTCTCCCCAGAGAACCACCCAGCCTAGCCCAGCCCAGCAGAATCAGGTCTCACTTTTACTGTTTGTTTGTTTGTTTGTTTGGGGACCACACCCAAGCTTACTCCTGGCACTGCGTTCAGGGATCACTCTTGGCAAAGTGAGGGGAACCCTAACTGGTGGCTGGACTCAAACCCAGTCTACTGGTCTGCTGCGTGCAAAGCCAAGTGCCTACCTGCTGTGCTATAGCTACAACCCCAGGATTCACGGGTGGGTTTTTTTTTTTTTTGGCTTTTTGGGTCACACCCGGCATCGCACAGGGGTTACTCCTGGCTCATGCACTCAGGAATTACTCCTGGCGGTGCTCGGAGGACCATATGGGATGCTGGGAATCGAACCCGGGTCGGCCGCGTGCAAGGCAAACGCCCTACCTGCTGTTCTATCGCTCCAGTCCCAGGACTCACTTTTGAGTCCTGCAGCCGCAGATGGCTCTTCAAGCTGGGGATCTGGGTCCCAAAGTTTGGAAAACAGGGTCCTCTTGTTTTTTTCCTCCCGGAGCAGCCTTCTGCCTCTTCCTCTCTGGGGTAACGCTGGGCCCTGGTCCCAAACCTCCAGGTTCACATCCTAACCCTGATTTCCATCTCCCAGACATGTCCCCAGCAGAACCAGCTCCAGGAGACTAGGGGACACATGAGCATGTGAGAGGCCTGTCCCTGTCCCGGTCCTCAGAAGAGCAGTTTTCCAAGAGCTGGAAGAGGGATAAGCCCAGGAGGAGTGTCAGCCCCAATCAACTTCCCTGTGGTGCCAAAGAGCAGCTCCCGACAGGTGTTCTCTGGAGCAGAGCCTCCTGGAGGGCCCAGTGCCAGTGGGGTGTCTGCCCAGTTCATGCCCTCTCTTCTCAGGGAGCTCCTGTTCTTTTTCTCCTCCTCCCTCTATTGCATCTCCTTCTATGCCCATGCTCTCTCACCTGTGTCTTCCTAAGGGTGACTGCACCACCAGGCGTGTGTGGTCTGGAGGAAGGTACAGGAAAAGGGTTCGAACCCTAGGATTGGATCCAGAGGAAGCACCTGCCTCACCAGAGTATGATTGTGAGTTCAAATCTCCAGAGAGTCGTATGAATCGAGTGTGGTCCTGGCAGCTCTGCCCTCTGCAGTCCTCAGAGCTGAGAGTGAGTTCCAGATACACTGCTGCCAAGTGTGTGAGAGCCACAGAAGGGGGTGTGATCCCCAGTGAGGACCCCAACGGAAAAAAAAAGTGCCAACTGGACCAGAGAGATGGTACAGTGAGCAGGGCACTTGCCTTGCAAATGGCCAACCTGGACTTGCTCCCCAGCCCTACTTGTGGTCAGTCCTCTGAGCTCATCAGGAGTGATCCCTGAGCACAGCTGGGTGTAGCCCCCAAACAAAGATGAGTAACATTAGTGAGCACCAAGGTCCAGTGTGCCAGCACCATCGCCTGACGTACAACCCCCAGGAAGAACAGCAGATGAAACATGCGAGCACCACAGTGAGATAGATGTGTAGCCCCTGCTCATCACAATGTCAACAACAATGATGGAGGTGGAGGGAATAATAATTGAATACTGTGTAAATGCCATGAAACCCTAGAGTCACGCCTAATGGGGGGAGGGTGGAAGTAAAAACTTAGATATGAAAGACAGGGTTTCAGAGCTTGTGGAGCTCAGTTCCTTTACTTCTCTAGATGAGAAAGCCAAGGCCATAAATCAGACCCTCCTCACAGTGATCTGTCTGCACAATCCCAGCTGCCCATTGGAAGCAAGGGAGCCACTCTACTGCCTTGGGGTTTGGGATGGATTGGATTTTGGCTTTGGACTGTGCTTCTAACTGGTCTCAGAAATGCTGTTTCCAGTAAATATAGGGAAAGAAAGGAGGAGGGGAAAGCAAGGAAAAGGGAAGAAGGGAAGGAGGTAGAGGAGGGAAAGAGGGAAAGGAGGGGAGGGAGGAAGTGAAGAGTGAAAGAGATGGAGTAAGAGAGGAGTCAGAGGGGAGGGGAGAAGGGGAGGACAGGGGTGGAGGAGGGGAGGAGGCGGAGAGTGGACAGCTGGCAGCCCAGGGCAGGAAGAACAGTGACAAGCCACAGGATCAGGTCTCAGGGGCAGCCTGTGGAGCTGACAGGCACATGGAGGTAAAGACAATTTCAAATATTGTGTTTTGGGACAAATGTTTCAGGTTTAACAAATTGGACCGGCAAGCTACCGAGAGTATTCAATATGCCAAACACAGTAACAACAAAGTCTCCAATGGAGACGTTACTGGGCCCGCTCGAGCAAATCGACGATCAACGGGAGGGCCTTTACCTTTACCTTTACCTTTATTCCACTAAACGTAATATGATGCTCAGAAGAGGAAAGCCAATGTCATTCACAGCCCCCTGGGTCCTGGGGAGGCTCTCATCTACTCAGGCTGGGATGGGCAGCAGGGAAGTTGGGTCCACAGTTTTGGACGCCTTTTTGTATCTGTGAGCACCCTGCAGAGGGTGGCAAGTGGGGTGTTGGAGCCGCTGGACTCGAAGTCGGTACCCTACCTGGACAGATGCCTGTGTCACACCTGGGAGGGTTCCAATGGCTCAGCCACTTCCAGAGCCTCCCACTAAAGCTGATTCTGAGCCCCGAGACAGGCTGGTGCAAACTGAGGAGTAAAATGCAGCAGATTTTAAATGGCACAAAAAGGAATGTGAGGTGCCTCATCAGTCCTCTGCATATTGATTACATATTTAAGTTATAATACTCCAGAGTACTACAAAAAGCAAAGTAATACACAAAACATTCTAATCAATGTCACTTTTGTCTTTTCACTTTTTGTTTGGGGGCCACACCCAGCAGTGCTCAGGGTTTATTCCTAGCTCTGCACTGAGAGATCACCCATGGTGGGACTCAGGGGACCATAAGTGGTGCCAGGGACTGTATCTCAGCACCAACTTATTTCTTCTTCTTCTTCTTCTTCTTCTTCTTCTTCTTCTTCTTCTTCTTCTTCTTCTTCTTCTTCTTCTTCTTCTCCTTCTCCTTTTCTCCTTCTCCTCCTCCTCCTCCTCCTTCTCCTCCTCCTCCTCCACCTCTCCTCCTCCACCTCTCCTCCTCCACCTCTCCTCTTCCTCCTCCTCCACTTCCTCCTCCTCCTCATTCTCCTCATCCTTCTCCTCTTCTTCCTCCTCCTCTTCCTCCTCCTTCTCTTCTTCTTCTTCTTCTTCTTCTTCTTCTTCTTCTTCTTCTTCTTCTTCTTCTTCTTCTTCTTCTTCTTCTTCTTCTTCTCCTCCTCCTCCTCCTCCTCCTTCCCCTCCTTCTCCTCCTCCTCCTCCACCTCTCCTCCTCCTCCTCTTCTTCCTCCTCCTCTTCTTCCTCCTCCTCTTCTTCCTCCTTGTTCTCCGAATCCTCTTCTTCCTCCTCCTCCTCCTCTCCCTCCTCCTCCTCTTCCTCCTCACTTTTGGGCCACACCTGGTGATGCTCAAGGGTTACTCCTGACTCAACACTGAGGAATTGCTCCTGCTGGAGCTCAGGAACCATATGAGATTCTGGAGATTGAACCTTGCCACTGGCAAGGCAAGCTCCCTACCCATTGTGCTATCTCTCCAGCTCTGCATTTTATTTCTATTATGTGGTAGAATGAATCTGACATCAATGGGCCCTTTTGACTTAATAAAAATTCAGAGAGAAAATAAAAAATCAAGGTGACCCCTGGCTACAGGGTTACCTCTTTGGGTCTGGCCAAAGGGACCCAGGTACCAGCCATCTCTGAGGGATGCTGGGCTTGCTACGCCACCTAGTGGCATGGTGTCGGTGGGGGAATGACAGGTGGGGCGAGGCCATGGGAAAGCATTTCCCAGACAGCTGCTCCTGTCCCATCAGGGACTTGTCACTTTCCCCTGCCTCTAATATCAGTCCCAACAGGAGGCCCATAGGGCATAGTCAACAGGTAAAGGAGGTGTGTCTTGCTTAGGGTTAACTCACCATGTGTGGGAGGTTTTGTTTTGGTTTTGGAGCCGGAAGTGCTCAGGGTTTACTCCTGGCTCTGCATTCAGAGATCATTCCTGGTGGGATTCAGGGGACCATATGAGATGCCAAGGATTGACGTCTATGTCAGCAACATGCAAGACAAGTGCTCTACCCACCGCACTATTGTTCTGGCACTTCAACATGTGAGTTTTTATTTTATTGTATTATGTGTGTTGTTTTTTGGGGGTGGGGGCAGCAGTCACACTCAGTGATGCTCAGGGGTTACTCCTGGTTCTGCACTCAGGAATCATGCCTGGTGGCACTTGGGGAATCATATGGGATGCTAAAGATCAAACTTAAGTTTGCCATACTCAAGGAAAGCACGCAACCCACGTACTGTCTCTGGCCTCATCAACATGTGTTTTAAATAATAATAATAATAATAAATACATTTCAGGCCAGAGCAACATAGTACAGTGGTCGAGGCATTTGCCTTGCACATGGTCCACCCAAGTTGAATTCCAAGCACGATATTCCACTGGGTGTGGCACCAAAACAAAATTAATTAATTAATTCACATAATGTTTGAGGTTTTAGGGCTGCAAAGATAGTACAGTGTGAGTTCAAGTGTGGGTGCATTTGGTGACCAAGAACCGCTTCCCTAGGCCTTCTCAGTAGAGAAACAAATTGATGAGGGGCTCATGAATAGATGGTAAAAATGGCCCATTTCATGCAGAGCTGTTAACATACTTATAGAACATCTGAGGAGGTTCAAGGTATAGGACTGCACGTTGGTGTGATTGATCATTTACAGAGGTAAAGTGTTTCAAAGGAGGCAATTCTCTTGGGGGTACTAACTCAAGAAGACATTCTGTCTCCCAGGGATATCTATATTGCTTTTCTCTTTCCCTTTAATTATACATATTATACAATTAAATTTACTTATTAATACT